TTTCTGCTTTGTAGAACACATCCACCATTGCCCAGCGTCTTAGCCACCGGCTCGATCTCCCAATAGAACCATTTACCGTTGGACAACCCCCGCGCGCCGTTTACACATTTACATAGCGGTTTTTTTCGCTGTTTCCTCCTGGCACTCTTTCTCTGTACCTGTACTATAGCTTTGGACTCTATACAAGATCAAATGAGCATCTCTCAAATCAAGCCCGCGCGCACCCCCGCGCAGTGTTGTCGGGTGACTGACGTTTGACGGGTCAAGCCGGTCACACCGGGGGTCATTGACCGTCGTGACCCGGTCAACATTGACGGCGCAAAGTTACGTAATATATTTGTGGTCAACCAACACCAGCCATCTCAGTGCTTGATTTCCTGTGCGATAAGGTGAAAGCGCGCGCTGCGACCAGCCAATATGCTCTCGATGCTTCGGGCCTTGACTCCGATTTCAAAGCACACTTAGACAGGGTCTCAAGCCCGATGAGCTTTTGAATGCGTTTACCTATGTCAACTCTGGATCCGAGTGTAAGTACAGTGAGGCGCAGCTGCACTTAGGAGCTAATGGTCACTGCGTTGTGCTCATCTCTCTCTGTCTCCTGTATCATTTTTTTTTCCAAGTAGATGAGAAAGTCTACTGCCTCTTGTTCTGCCTCGAGACACTAGTACTGCGACAGTTATGCCTTTATTCCACTAGAGTATCAAAAAAATGATTGTATTTAGGATGCTCTTAAGATCGGGCATGCTTTGCAATGTGCAAGAACAAGAATGTTGAGGAGCAATCAAGGAGTGGAGCCTGGTGTTGAGTATTTTGAGCGTTAGTAAAGTGACGGGTAAATTGCTATATTCGTATGTACATGTGATCAACTGTCTAGCGGCATCTCGGCATCCTTGACTGCTGACGTTTCTGACGGTCACGTCAGGTCACAAGTCAATTTTGACCTGACTCATCGTCAAGACGTATGACGCGGGTCAGACAACACTGCAATTGACCCCAGGATACTTACTTACCTAAGATCGTACCCAACGCCACTAGTACTACATCCGCACTCGGTTGCGGTACTTACTAGTATTCGCTAGTACTTGCGGCGATCAGCTAACTTTCACTTTACTGGTTATATTTTAGTGGAAAACTATGACCTGGCTGAAGCCACTCCAAAAAATTGCTGGCCAGCATAAATCTATCTTTGCCGCAATAGCCCGACAAAATCAGACATTCAGTGCTCAGTGATATGAGTTGTTGAATACATGAGCTTGCTTGCCATTTATCGGGGGCGAAGGGAAACAGTTGCGCTGAAGACAATGTATCATGTCAGGCTGGCCCCTGCCGGTATTGGGGCGTGGCGCTGGCTAGTACGGATGGGTGCTTCCGACTCGCGCCGACTCAGAGGGGGGCAACGCCGGTCTAAGCTTCAGCGTCTGCGGTTTTTCTCAAGTCTGATAGCGAGCTTCTTTTGATGATTTTCTCGTAGCAGCCGACGCAATGCATGGTCAAAATGCACATACGTAAGAAAGCTTGGTGCACGCCCGAAGCCTTTGACTGGGTCACCTGCTATTAAAGCCGCGGAAAGACTGAGATCGTCACTCAGAACAGAAAAAATTACCCTTAGTATACCTTAACGTACATATTGAACTCTCATCATGCATGTTTAGCTGTTTGATCATGCTGCGGGAGCATCAGCAAACTAGCCTAGTTCGCAAAAATGAAGTCGGATTGCAGTTTAACAAAATGAATGGACAAATTGGGAATTGAACCCAAGACCTCGCGCATGCGAAGCGCGCGCTCTACCAACTGAGCTATTTGCCCGACACTTAGTCGTGGTGGCGTGCAAATATGGACATGAATTTGGGTGCTGCCTAAGTGGTTTTGTTGTTTTTTCAGCCCAGTGGGTGTTTCTTCGGCTCTGGAGAGCTTAGTTCCAGAGGAAAGCCAGGGCTCGTGACCAGCGCTGTGATTCGCTTGAGGTAAGATGGTGGTGGTGTTGAATAGAGATCGGAGAGCGTGACAAAGCTACGGCACTAGCGTGACATGCAGCTATCTCAGTGTCAACTCCGCCAGGGGTTGTTTCTGGAGAAATCTTGGAAAGACGATAACAAGACCTACACATGGCTCAACCACAGTATAATGGATAGAGGGAAAGGTTGATCTGGATGGGACATCCCAGCGGAACACCGTAGGTAGTTTTGATATCGTGCCGACTATTCGCGCGGTACTTATCTTACCTAACTACCCACGCCAAGTCGGTGCTTCAGGAGCTCGGCGAGATCAGGATCTGGCGGCACAGACAACTACTTATCGTCTACTATCTGGCAAAACCAAGGGCCCTCTTATCCCGGGCCCATATCGTACACGGCGGGATGGGACGATACATACAGCGGCATGAAGGTCATGTACACGGAATTCTCCGAGTCGTATGCGTGGAAAGCTGTCTTCGCTGACAGAATGCGGTATGAGCGAGGGCTGAACGACCATCTCAATCGCCGGAGGAGGGATGAGAGGCGAGTCGTGGGGCTTTGGGAGCAAGCCGTGCGGAACCTCAGCAGGTTTGTCTCGCATACTGGCAGACGGCGAAGAGGTGTTAGGACTCGGGCTATGATATTCGCAGAGGAGGAAGGCGATGGTGAGGTCGCTGACTTCGAGGTCCCCGGATTGATAGGTGGTAAGTAATTTTACTCGCGTTCGTGGTGATTGACTTCGGAGCGCTCAAGCCCTTGTATTTCATTAGAACCTGTGGGCTTTGACGAATCTACTATCGCGGAAGCCTTAATGATGAATGAGGCCACGGGAAATTCCAAGGTTGTCGAGCTTCCTGAGAGTGCCGTAGCATAAAATTTTGACCATGATGAAAGTTCATTGCTGAGCTACTTGCACTGTTTCGCGGTTCAAACATGCACTAATTGAGATCGTCCTGCGGGCCTGGTAATTGAGATGTACTGCTGAATTTGGCGCTGTTCTGTTCCACCAGCTCGACTTTGGCAGACGCTCGCACGTTTCAAAGACTTACCCGTTGGGACTACTGGCGCCCCCAATATAAGAGATCACTTACCACCACAGCCTAGGTTCTAATCGGCAGGCCCGTGCAGACCACCACGCACCTTCCATAGGGCCAGGTCATTTTGTTACACTTGCATAGTGCGCGCTATAACACTGAAAACTTCTGGCCACATCTCCCTTGCGCTTACCTGCCTGTCTCGCCTCCAAGCTGACGATTGTAAGGTCGGGCGATACCAGTTTCGACGATAACATAAGTTCATGAGCAGAGGGAGCAAGGTTCAATATGGTTTAGATAGAGAAGTAGAAGCCGCAGTATATTATGGACGGAGACAATAGCATTCAGAGGCAGATACGTACTTATATTCAGAGCTTCGGGCATTAATAAACGAGCGTTATTATTGAATAGCCATTAGGCCCAGACCTCTGGAGAGATACATGCCTATTTGAATGGTCTACCCAACGGAGTAAATGATCCATGTGCAACCCTCGGGCTTTAGACGCCGGATTCGATGGAAACCCAAAGTTGATATATCGATACTGGAGTCTTCTAGCCTGAGGAAATATACAAGGCAGCGTTACTGGCGACGGGTGGCCGATTTCTAGAAGACAAGCTGCTCGCAAACCGTTGCTCTCAGTACAGCTCGAGCGATTCCAGAGGTTCCATTGCGACGGAGTAAAGCCCCAGAGCAACCCCAGAGCGCCATTCTCGCCGAGGCGAAAGCAGCCACTTATGCGTACACCACCGTGGATTCAGCGCCCAGCGTCCGCCAAGCTGGAAAAAATAGCTCGGGTGACGGGAAATGGATCAGGATGAGTCGCAGATAAAGGGCAGAATATGGACGCGGTGTTGCGGAGTTTTGGCCAGATTAGCGTCAAAATTAGGTTTGATGCCGAGATTTAGCACCAAAAGGCCAAGTACTTACTGCCACCAACCTCGCCCGTCTTCCCCTTCTCCCCGTCTCCATCGCTGTCTCTACCTCCCCCGTCGTCGTGAACGGCGCAAATCTACCATGGCCACGCTTACACGCACACCAGCCGTCTCTGTCGAGTATCCTCCCCAGTCGGAGCAAGAGCTTGACACGTACATTCCCCAGCCGTTTCCGATCCACGTCTTGCAGCAGGAGAGAGAACGGTCTGTACCTCAGGTCGACCACCCACCGCCATCCATTCTGCTATCTGCTGCTTCACAGTCGCAGGTAGCCGCACAAGAAGAGGAGCTGGAAAAATCACCATCGAACCTGGATACATCATTCGAACACGACTCTGTTCAACTTGACGACGTGTGCCACATTCGCATTCTACGCTCTCGACCCGTCTCCTAAAATTCCCGTCTTTTTCTTTTAGGATGACGTTCTTCCGTCGCTCGTGCACGTACAACAATCGTGCTTGGAGACGCTAAACAACCTACTTTCACGCTCAATGTCCGACGGCGTCAAGTGGTCAGCCATCGTACCTGCGCGACGTCATTCTGCTCCCCCCATCGGCCTCTTTACACCTTCTGCTGTTACGCCTGAATCATCCTCGGCCCTTCATACCCTCATTGCGAACCTCCGCGTTCGTGATGCTAGCAGAACCGACGTCATGGTCGAAACTGGCAGCAATGCGCTTGGTGCTAGCAGCACTACCCCCGACGCCCATGCACTTTGTGATGAGCTTGTCCAGCGCGTTAATGTCGATACCGGGCTTCTCTCGTATCGTGACACTCAACTTGCCAGGGCACTCGCGTCTCTGTACGCTTACTCGACTCAGATCCTCCAGCGATCTTCCTTAACGTCCCTCCTTCCGGGCGGCCCATCTCCCCTCGCTTTATCTCCGCATCTTCAAAGGGATCTTGGCGACCCTTCGGACATGCTCGGCGCATTGAGCCGCCAGCTCATTACACTTCAATCTCACCGTGCACATTCCGAGTCGCGTGCCAACAGTCCCAGTCCCGGTATCAATCACGAGCGCGGGAATCCCATTCTCGTCGTAGAGAAGGCACTACTATGGAATAAAGTCGACGACGCTCTTGATAGCGTCCTTCGGCTGTGTCGTGAGGCTTCCGGATTTGGACTAGTTGGCGACGACAATGACCATGCGCCGCCTTCGGTGAATTGGGACCACTATCCCCCCGAATACGACCATGACAAGCTCCCGGAATACGACATCGATTCTGAACAGTATGATGATGTCCTAGCCGAGAAACCAGCGGCGGAATTTGCATCGGCACATACGTCGGCCTCGACAACGCGCGCCGAGCCTACTTCCTACCTCTCATCTTCTTCTGAGAAGATGAAGCTCGATTTGGACGCGGTGACGATGGCGATTGACCGGTTATATCTCGTTGCACCGCAGTTGCATAGTCAGCGCGTCGAGTTAAAGGCGAAGAAACTGGAAGAGTTGGAATTGGCTCGTGTGATGGGGACCATCGAACGCGTCGCCGCACGAGGGAGGCTGGATAACCAACGGGCGGCAGATCCCATGTCGGGTGGGCGAGCCAAGCTAAGGAAAGACAAAGGCAAGGCGCGAGAAGGGGAGCGAGACGGCGCGACGGAAGACTTGGATAAGCTTCTGTCGTTGATCAGTAAGGCTGATGCGGGGAGGTTGCCTGGGCAGCGGTTCGAAGTAAACGACGCCAACAAGACGAAGGGGAATACATCAAAGCAGAAGGAGGTACGTGTATTGCCCCAGATATGGCATGCCGGGATGGTTCTCATCGTCTCTTATTTAGGGCGTGGATACGTTCATGGAACACATTCTCAAACATACGTCGGTGGGACGATTGCATTCCCAAGACGCAGTTCTGTCGACGACTCGGAGCCCTAAGCGAATGCAATCTGTTAAGAGCTTCCGGCAGCTAGATATCGGGGCCGTCAATGTAGACGATCCGGAAGCGCTGCTATCGCTCCCGGAGTTTATGAAGGAGACGATGTCCGGCCCTCTGCCTCTATCGCCTGGCTTTGTCGGGGACACAAAGGGCAAAGGCGTGGTTGCGAAGTTGAAAGGCAGGAAGCGGAGTCATTCTGCGCCATCTGTGGCCGCGTGGTTCACGAGAGTGACCTCTTCGTCTCTCAACTCCTCGTCTTCCTCTCTAGTAAACTCAGCGGCAGCGGTGGACGTGAATGCGGAGGGGCTGGGGGATAAGCGTGGTGTGTTTTGACATTGATATCAGTTGTGCATTTGTGGGATACCCTGACGCATGTTATTTCGTTTATCTTTATCCTTACTCTCTCCGTGGATATTATTGCTCTTTCGGTTTTGGGATAGCTGTCGGACTTGCCGTTTATTACGTCGCGGAGCATCAGGAGAAGTTGAATAGCGTGCAAGTGTTTGTGCAAGTTCCTGGTCTGGAAAGCAGTATGGAGGGCGTCGAGGCCGAGGTGATTGCCGCGCCGGGTGGGGACGGGGGTGAAGAGTCGCAGAAGCTTGTGGTGAGGACGTCCTTGGGCATCTCCGCCCCGCTCGTGCTGCCGACTCCGGTGGTCCCTGGTCCGTACGGCGTGAGAGTCGCTGGCAACCACTTGGAAATCAAACTCGCCGCTCTGCCTGTTTCCGAGCAAAGGGATGCCCTCGGTGAGCCCTCGCACGATACGCCTATCCTTCTCGATGCAGCACACTTGTCGAGGATCGCGCCGACGTCGTTTATATGCGCGTCGTGCTCCTCTCTCGTTGCCGCTCTTTCTCAGCCCCCAAACCCCTCTCGATCTGTTCTGCGCTCGCTTACACCAAGCACCCCGCTGTCGACCTTGGCTGTACCTGCAATCAAGTACGCCGACTTGCCTTCGGAGCACTGGGCCGAGTTGATTGATGCATGGATGTGCCATACCGACCAG